TGGCAACCAGAAATGTCTGCACGCGTTGACAGATGTGCCCCAACAGGCAAATCGCCCCGGGTCGAAAGCCAGGGTTCTAGAGCTTGTCCTGGTAATGAGCATTCCACACTGCCTTCCGGGGGCAGGTGTTGTAGAACCACTTCCGTGTGGGCAGAGAGCTGGCTCCATCCAGGGCCCCCACCCAGGGTCCCGCTGGAAACAGAGGACAGCTACTGCTCTCTCCGGGGCTGTCTGGAAGAGGAATCGCAGAGATGGTGCTGTTTGCATGGAATTTTGATGGAGTTCACCAAGGCAGAAAAGGGGAACTATCTCTGGAGTGGAAGGACCCCCACACAGGCGCAGAAGTGGGAGAGACAAGGCAGATAGTTTGCTGTGGCCCTCACTTCCCTTCCTCTTGCTATTTTCTCGTTCCCTCCTTTCAAGCAGCAAGCTGGTTCCCAGCAGCTAGAGAAGCTCTTCAGTCGCAGGTCCGCATCGGTCAGGACGGGTGTGGCTCCGTTGAAGTAACAAACAGGCCCGCAATCCGTAGTTTCAAATGGCAGGGGTTTATTTCTTGCTCGTACTGCATACCTGGTCTGGGGTAGCTGGGTCCTCACTCTGCGACCCTGGCTGATGGTGCAGCAACTCTCTGGAGTGTCGCTGGTCACCACAGCAGAGAGAACGAGAAGATGGGGTTTCACATACTGGCTCAGAGAGCTTCAGCTCAGAGAAGTATCATGTTTCTCTTCTCATATTTTCCTTTCTTTCTTGCTTCCTTCCTTTCTTTTTAAGATTTTAGTCACTTATCTGAGAGAGAGAGAGAGAGCACGAGCTGGGGCGAGGGAAGGCAGAGGGAGAAGGAGAAGCATACTCCCTGCTGAGCAGGGAGCCCGACACAGGACTCGGTCCCAGGACCCCGAGATCATGACCTGAGCCAAAGGCAGACGCTTAACCCACTGAGCCATGCAGCAGCCCTCTTCTGCTCATATTTCATTGGTCAAGCAAGTGTTGTTAGGCAGTCCCTGCCTAACCTGAAGGGGACAGGGGCATCGAGTCCTACCATGTGTGCAGGAGAAGAACTGGAAATATCTGGGGGACAGCACTGACGTCCAAGGCCCGTACCTGAGCCGTGGGAGCGTGGGTCACTTGCCCTGGCTCTGAGGGCCTCCCACCTTGGCTTCAGAGAATGGCCTATTGCCAGGCTCAGTGAGACACGGCTGAGCGAAAAGAGAAAAGTAGACCATCAGGATTCCAGACAAGTTTAATTCTCTGAATAAGTCAAAGAGGTCTCCGTGGGATTGGACCAGGTCGCAAGCCCTCATTGTTAGAGTTACGATGTTGGGCATGGGAGAAAGTGTTCAAGTAAACAGGCCCTGGATGCAGTGGGCTGTGTCCATACAGAGGGAGTAGTAGATGAGGACGCTGGTGGTTATCCGGACCCCAGACGCTTCCCCTGGCTGTTACTGGTAGGAAACAGAACGGCTTTCAACTCAAGCTAAGTGTCAAGCAAGATGGCGTCCTTTGTGAGCCATAGATTTACGGGGCTGTTTTGAGATAGTGGAACGCATTGGGTGTGAGCAGACGTGACTGAGCCCCTTCGGGATGCTTTCAGAAGGCCTGAACAAATTCCTTATAAAACCAGGAAGAGTGTTCCCCGTTGGAAACTCATTCAGACCGCGACTCGGTCCCAGGCCCTGGAGGGGGGAGATAGAGACAGAGCCTGGCTGCGGTGGATCTAAAATGGGATAAAACCGGAAACCTGTGGGAAGGACACAGGCCTTGTCACCCCTCAACAGGGGGCACAGAGGTCTTAGAAAAATAGAACTAAAAACAGCAGCTGTGGGCTACCTCTCTCCCCAGTGACGAGCTCTCTCCAAACCTGGTTTCCACTCAGTTTCTGAACTGGTTTTCACCATGGTGTGTAGGGAGCTGGGGCAAGTGAAGTGGGCAGAAGTGGGGGTAGGGTTGGGGGGGCACGGGCCTTGATTCAAAGAGAGACAAAATTAGTAAGCCACCGTCTGGGAACTGGGAGGTTAGGGGCATTCCAGAGACAGGAGGCGCCTGGAGCAACCGGCTGGGTCCAGAGTCTCCCTGCAGCGGGGGCTTGCTTGAGCGTGTGTGCACGTGTATGGGGTGTGTGTAGGTGTGCACGCATGCGCCCCCCAGGGGAGGGCTGCCGTGGAAGGGTGTGCAGAGGACCCGCCTGTGGTTTGCTGAGCACTGCCTGAAGCAAGTCTTGTGTGTTCCCTCCTCCGTTGGGGGCCCCAGGGCACCCAGGATGCAGTGGTTCCCTAGCATTTTCCATACCCCCAGCCTGTACTGTTCTCTCACACTGAGGGCAGCAAAGCCATGGTGTGCTTCTAGAAGCTTCCACAGGCTGAGCAGGACCAGTAAAGGAGCCTGAATAGACGGGTGGGCCTGAAGGGCACAGATGGCAGCTGAACGCAGCGCCAGGGCAGCCAGGGCGAGGCCAGCTGCCCCTCCGCCCAGGCCAGTGTTCCCTCCCCCGCGACCACTGTCCCTTCCACGTGGACCTGTGCTTTCTCGGCTGCGAAGTGGGCATATGCTGCTTTCAGCTGAGCAGGAAGTGCTTGTAAATGTGCCCACTCTGGGAATTTGTCTCCGGAAAGGAGGCTCCAGCGGGGCGCACCGTGGCTCGGCTTTCTTCGCCTTCTTCCCCCGCTGCCCACTTGGCATGGGGCCGCCTTGAGCACCCGCCTGCCCTTCTCTTGCCCTGGGGCTGGGACTGCGCCCGCAGGGGCCAGGAGGGCAGGGATCCAGACTGCTGTGGACCCCCCCGGGGCCCCCCTGGTTCCCAGCAAGAGGCTCGGGCTCTGAGAAGGGCTGCCTCCCAAGCCTTGCCCACCCCTCAGGGCGGCAGGAAGGTGGTTCACCCCGTTCTTACCCCGGGCTTTGAGGTCTCCGGAAGACACAGGTATGAAATGTAAAACCGCGACGACTATCTCATTCTTGCTACGTTTCCACCCTGGTGGTTTACTGTACATCACCGCAGAAATTTCCTGAAGCCCTTCTCCCAGACCCCTGGGGCCAGGCCGGAGGGCACTTTTTGTGAGAGACTGAACATCCTCCCCCCCCCCCCCCCCCCCCCCCCCTCCAGGAAGGCCTGTTGCAGGGCTTGCTTGGGAAGAGGGAGGAGAACTAAGGTTTTCTGGAAAAACACCACCCTCACATGAAGAAGGTCCTGGGAACGGATCTGGGGCAGCAGTGTGGCCCCAGACTCTGCCGTGAAACCCCATCCCTCCCCTTCTCGCCTCTGGGTTAGGGGTGGAAAGGGGGGTGTGGCAGATGCCCGGGTAGGTTCAGCTGAGCCCTGGAAGAGACAATGGACAGTGGTCCTGAGGGGTTTCTGTTGGCACCTGTGGCCTCCCTGACGAGCAAAAGGGAGTCCCGACGGGTAGGTATCCATGAAGCTCCGGCTTCTCTTGTGCGATTTTTCCAAATGGGCCATTATTGGCATTTTGGATGGCAGAGCTTTTTACTGGGACTGCCCAGCACCTGTGGGTCATAACCCTTCGGCACCGTGCCCCCCTCTCGGGCCGGGCAGGGGGTTTCTGGTTAGCAGCCACTGCGAGGAATTCTTTACTTTGGCAGAATCTTGAGAGGATTGCAGGTAGAGTTAACGGACTTGAGGGGGTGGTTGGGGCAGGCAGGCGATGTCAGACCGAGTAATGTCTTGTCACCTTGGGCCGGGTGTTGGCCTGATTTTTTTAGCGATGAAGTAACATTTTTCATCCTGTTATGAGCACTGGGCACCACCAGTTCACTGGAGAATGTTTTGGGCTGGTTTCCTTTCTTTCCTCCTTCTGTCTTAATGAGCACAGTCACGTCAGGGCTCCTCCACGAGTGTGTGACCAGCGCAGGACGGGCCCCTAGCACCAAGGGCCGAACCCTTGGGGTTTAATGCTGTGCGGTTACCGTATTGAAATTCTGTTTTTTTAAAGATGTTTTATTTATCTGATAGAACACAAGCAGGGTGGGGAAGGGACAGAGGCAGAGGGAGAAGCAGACCCCCCGCCGAGCAGGGAGCCCGACGCAGGACTCAATCCCGGGATTGTGACCTGAGCCGAAGGCAGACGTTTAACCCACTGAGCCACCCAGGCGCCCCTTAAAATTCTTAATAAATCTGTCTTTTTTTTTTAAGATTTCATTTATTTATTTGAGAGAGAGAATGAAATAGAGAGTATGAGAGGGGGGAGGGTCAGAGGGAGAAGCAGACTCCCCGCCGAGCAGGGAGCCCGATGTGGGACTCGATCCTGGGACTCCAGGATCATGACCTGAGCCGAAGGCAGTCACCCAACCAACTGAGCCACCCTTGAGTGTGTGTTTTTAAACAAAGTCCAGTGTCACAGGGGAGCAGGAGGTCCCTGGGCTCGGGCCCCACCTGCCTCCCTCTCCCCACCCACCCCCCAGCAGCTGCTGACGTCTCACCAGGGGCCTGGGTGAGGGCTCCCGGAGTCCCTACTGCTGGTGTCCCAGGCTGGCGGAGCCACAAACTGAGCCTCAAGTCCTTCCTGATCCAGGTTCCCAGCGGGAAAGGGGAGACGCCCTGCCCCTGGCCAGGGTCATGGGGTGAGACCCCTGGGTCCCCTGAGGGTCTGCATTTGCCCAGAGACCTCAAATAGCAAAGAAGCAACACTATCAGGGTGAGCGCAAGACTACCGAAGAAAGATCTCTCTTTGATTGCCCCTCGTGGCCCCTTCTCCTGCTGGTTTTCCTACTTTTTGAACCAAAGGTGATGCATTTTCACGCAACCCGGAGCTCGTTCTCACCTGCAGCGTCTGGTTAGTTTTCTGTGCGTCTCTGGGCAGAACAAAGGCGAGTGACTACAAGGGATCACCCCAGGAGTGTCCCTTCGGTTCTTCTGAGAGCCCCAGCCCAAGGCCATACCTGTTGGCACAGCACCTTTTCTAGGAGGCCACCAGCCAGCGGCCAGAGAGGGGCAGGAGTGGGAAATCTGTCTTTCGATGGGACTTGGCTGCATTTTGGGGGCCAGTCGGTCATGAGTCTTCCGTAGTCCGTGAGCTGCTTCTTCGCAGGTACTCGCCATGGACCAGCTCTGGGCTGGTACTGGCGCTGTGCAGGACGCTGCAGGAAGCGCAGACAGGACCATAAAGCAAGGTTCTGGGAAACGAGGCTGGGCTCACGGACAAGCTCCATTAAGGGATTGTTGGTGAGCAGGTGGATAGTGCCATACAAGGGAGATGACACAGACCTTGTCTTGGCCTGGGGGACCATGGAGAAAGACTGAGCCCAACGTGACTTCAGATAAGGTGAGTCTGTCGCCAGGAGACAGGCGAGAGCGAGGCCCCCCCAGCCCCCACTGCCACATTTTGTGGCTCATGGACAGTCTTGGGGGGCTTCATATTTAGATAGGTAGGGTCAGGGAAACATCAGGTCTTCTGCTTCATCTAAGACCTTCTTGGGGGGTCACTGGATGTCAGGGACCACTGTGCACCGTTCCCCAACCTCCCAGGGCCCCAAGGATGGCCCTTCCTGTGTCTCGGTGTCTTTCTCAGAAGATCCCCCGCCCCCCTCCCCCACCCCGGCAGACATCCCTGTGTCTCTCTGACCAGAATGTGTCACACGCTTGTGCCCAAGTCAGCCTCGGGCAGGAGAGTTGACTCAAGACCATTAGCGATTCCCGCTGCCATAGCTCGGGACACACATTTTATGGAGTTCCCTCTGGGGAGATAGAAGCGCCCAAACAAAATCACATCCCTCCCTCCATCCCCCTCCTCATCCTAGAAAGGGTTGGAGGTCGCGTTGATTTTTTTTTTCTCTGTTCTTTTTGATTTTTAACATAAACTCAAATGTTACTAAGAAGTTAATGATAACCATGACCAGTACACTATTTAACTCCTTCCAAGTGTACTTGGGTCTTTGATCAGCTACATAACTTTGTTGTACATGATTGTAATCTGATTGTACTCGCTTTATCTTTTTGATTTTATCATTTTTATGTCAACTCACGTTTTCTTTTTCATGAGTTGACACAGGTCATCTTGTGATTTTCAGTGAGTATGATATTATATAATAGTGATAGCACTGAACTTTTATTTATTTATTTTTAAATATTTTATTTTATTTTTTTTTTAATTTTTTTATTGTTATGTTAATCACCATATATTACATCATTAGTTTTTGATGCAGTGTTCCATGATTCATTGTTTGTTCATAACACCCAGTGCACCATGCAAAACGTGCCCTCCTCAATACCCATCACCAGGCTAACCCATCCCCCCACCCCCTAAATATTTTATTTTTTTGAGAGAGAGCAAGCATGTGGGGGCTAGAGGGAGAGGGAGAGAGAGAGGATCTTAAGCAGGTTTCACGTTCAACTCGGAGCCCAATGAGGGGCTTGATCCCGTGACCCTGAGATCATGACCTGAGTCGAAATCAAGAGTCTGACGCTTAACCGACGGAGCCACCCAGGCGCCCCAGCACCAGACTTTTACCGAGTATTTATGTGCCAGGCACAGCTCAGTGTTTTATATGGATTACTTTTCCTAAATCTCATAGCCACCCATTTTCAGAGGAGGCAAACGAGTACCCAAAAATGTGGTGTCTTCTGATTCCCGAGCCGGGGCTTGAACCTCTGCAGCAGTTCCATCCTCGTGCATCTGCTCAGGTACAGCTGTTGCTGTCTGTAGCCACAAGCATTTTCGTAAAGGTGACCTTTCTCTTCTCCCCGTGGTTACTTCCTTGGGAAGTGTTCCCCTCGGTGATGTTGTCCTCGACGCCCAAGAAGAATGAGCAGCCACCTCGTCATGTCCCCATCCTCTCTGGAAAGACTGGACCAATGACAGAGCTGTCCGCAAAGACTCTGCCGGTTCCTCCACCACCACTGGCTTTTCTGTGTATCTGCTGCTGTCTGATTGTCCCTTCAAGGTAGAATGTGTAATTCTTCAGCTTTCAAATGGGATTCGCCATGCTTCCTTGTGACGATGCCCTTTAATTACTCCTCTGTAAGCTCTTGCCGCTTCCCAGCGAGCGACTGCCCTCTGGTAGCGATGGCGTGAGCTGCTAGTGTTTCTGTATAGCGAGCTCTCAGTTGCTGTTACAAATATTTTTCTGTTCTGTGGTTTGCTCTTAAAATCCTACTTTATTGGTGGCAGTGTTTTCATTCTGACTTACTCTAATAGATTTTTGTTGCCCCCTGTGAAATTGGTCTTAATGATGCTGGCCTGAAAGTAGGGACAAGCTGGTCTTTGAGGGAGATGATTATTGTTAATGTTTCTTATGCAGCCAACCTTCGGGATGGGTTCTTAGAGGACTGGACTGTGCCTCGCCCTCAGAAGGGGTTTTCTGAAAAACCCCTTTTCTAAGTCCCAGGAAGCCCTGGGCTCAGAGCAGGTGCCTGGCTGTTAGCTAGCTGGCTCCTGGCCATATCCAGCCACCCCCAGTCTCCTGCCCATCTGCACAGCTTGGCAGCAGAGTAGCGACCAACACACCCAGGCCCAGAAAGCCAGACAGAGTGGCGGCTGGAAACTTCTTGGAATCCTTGTAATTAGTAAGGGAAAAGGCCTGTTAGCTCATGTGGTGTCCTCCTCCTCCCACGGGCCCCAACCAGCTGTAGAAGATGACATATAATTTGCTCGGTCACCTGGAGCACTCAACTGAGCTTTCTGGGGCTCCTCCGTGAAACCCAAGCGCTAGACCAGATCAGTGGTTTTTAACCCCCTTTGGGTCTTGTGTCATTTTGGAAAGTGGTTGAGAGTGGTGTACCCTCTCCGCTAGACAAATGCATACTTCACAAACCATTCTCCGGGCTCCTGTAGGACATCTGTGGCTGAAAGCCCATCTCAACTCCAGCTACAGTCTGTAGGCTTAGAACCCAAAGATTTGTTGATCTCCGGGCTCCATTTCAGCAAGCTCTAGAAAGTTTCCAGTCAAGGAACCTAGGGATGGAAGGTGGGGAAAGGGAGCTGCTGGTATTTACTTGGAGGAAACACCTGTCCGACCCCCAAAGTGTTTCACTATCAGTTATTTGTTAGCTATTTATTATTTTTCAGGGCTGAGTTTACCTTTGTGATAGTGCATTCTATCCCTTCACCTGACTCTTTAAAAATTTTGCCCCGCCTCTGACTGAAACTATTGAAATCTTTCAGGTCTGTGGGGCAGGGGTGGCTTGTGAAGGCCTTTTGACCTTCGAAGCAGGTCAAATGGGGAGGGGGGACATCTACCCAGATGCCCTGGCAACTCCCAGCCACCATCAGCCTTAGCCCTCAACCACTTGGAATAAGAGAACAGGCTGGTAGGGTGATGTTTTGTGAGTAAATGGGTGCTCGGGAGTTGGGAGAGAGGGCGGAAAATCTCTTCTGGTTGATTGGAGTGCTTTCCCAGCGCCTCTGGGCTTGGTTAAGAGGCTTTGCTTCAATTCCAGGGACTTTTCAAATTCCTGAAATGACCTGTTTGAGAGGGAGTTGCAAGGAGCGGCTCAAAGATCTGTTCTCAGGGTCAAGAGAAACCTCCCAGTGTAGTTTCACGGTCTCTGGAGGGGAGATGCCTGCAGCCTCCAGTGTCCAGGCCGGCCCAGCCTCCTGGAATGGGATGGAGGCAGTCACAGACACAGGTCTTTCTGGTCGGAGGCCGGAGGGATGTGTGTGCATACAGGCCCAGAGGCACTTCTGAATATTTGGCTTTGACTCAGGAAGTTGAGGACAGGGAGGCAGGAGGGGGAGAATCAGAGTCATGCACCTCTGTTTTATGTTTCTGAAATCTCTTCCCTCCCTCTCACCGCCAGGATGTTTCTGTGAAATGTGGGACGAGAGATAAAGGACTTTGCTCCTAAATCTGTAAAATTTGGGGATGATTCTGCTGTGCGGAGAGTAGTGACCTGTGTGCAGGGAGCCTATGGATCTGCTTTTACGGCAGTGACTGATGCTGTTCCGTGTCTCTGAACATGAAACAGTTTGGACCAAGTAGGAGCCATGCCGTGATTCCCTTAAAAGCACTGCAGACAACCTTTCTAGTAGCTCTCCTTTCCAATTCTAAGTTTGATGAGGTGTTTCTTTCACGGAACAAAAGGAGCCTACAACTTTAAGAAAGTGTATTCCAGCTCCAGGTTTCAAATGAAGGTGAAACTGTGTGAAGTCACAGGCTGTCCCCTGTGGCCTGCGGAGGCCTGGGCCCTCACTCCGGCTGGGGCACTGCACTCCTGACCGTCCATCACAGAGCGTTTAAGTAGCCAATGATCTCTGAGAAAAAGGCTGGCGGTTAAGGTTGCCAGAAGGATGCACTGCTTTTTTTCAAACCAGAGTAAACTCGTTCCCGGGTCCTGTTCACCTCCAGGATATGTGTCCCAGTCTTTCTGTTTGTTTCTCCAGAGTGACACGATGTTGCTTTCCCAGAAAACCTCCCAGGAAGACTAATTTCATTGAAATTTTCATAATGACCCAGGGGAAAAAAAAACTAGCTTTTTTTTTTTCCTTCGGCTTCACTCATGTAAGGAAATTCTCAACACTCGGACCAGTTCTGCCGGCTGCTGGGGTGTGGCTAGCCTACACGATACAATAATCTTTAAAAGAGTTAACGTATGGAGAGTTAATAATTTATTTGTATTTTGGGGCGCACTGAACAGATTTTTCTGAGGTGCTTGTGCTGTTAATATTTATTCTTCTCATTCATTTCGCGGCTCCTTTTTTTTTTTACACAGCAAAGAATGTTGACTTCAGCGTAAGCTTGGGTTCTCTGAAGACCTTGCGGGGGGGGGGGGGGGGGGGGCAGGGAGGGGGCCCCCCCGCCCCCCCCCCCCCCCCCCACCCCGCCACGGTCTGCAGCCCGAAGCCTTTGCAGGGCAGTGTGCTCCCGAGAGAGAAGGATCGGGGTGGTTGTGTGTGTGCGTCTCAGGCCTCGCGGGGCTCGCAGGGGGACCCACACTTGCTGCTCCCGGGCTCAGAGGCACGCGGGAAGACACGGAGGGGATCGTTCGGTAATTCGGCCCACGTGGCTTGAAACGCGGGGCCTGCTAGAGCAGCGGGCGGTGGAAACGCGAGCAGAAATCCGTGTGGCAGGCCAGCCGCCGCCAACTACAAACGCTGTGCGCCCACCGTAGACGATTCGGCCCACCTCGCCAGCGCGCAAACCGAGGCTGCAACGCCGCCTCCCAGACCCGGGAGGGGGCGGTGGCCGGGCCCGTCACGTGACCGCGCGCTGCCGCCCGCCCGTCACGTGGCGCGCCCCCGCCGCCGAGCATGCCGGGAGGCGGCGCCGCGCGGGTTCGGGCTTCCGCGCGCGGCCGGCGGGGCTGGGGGAGGGGCGGAGTCCGCGCCGGGGAGAAGCGCCCGGGACCGCTGGCCGGCCCCCGATCCCCGGACTCCGGGCCCCCTGTCCCACCGCCCCTCGGAGGGCGGGACGGCCGCCGCTCTGGGGCGGGGGCATCGGCGCGTGGCGCAGACCGGGCCCCGGGCCCTGCGCGCACCTGCCCCCCTGCCCTGCCCGGACGTCCCCCCTCGTCCTCGTGGCCACCCTCTGCGGCTCACACCGGTACGGTCAGCCCTCGGCCCCCTGTCGCCCCTCAGTGTTGAAGTGCCTGAAACACAGGCGTGTTTGGCTGCAGTATTTTTGTGTCGTGAAAATAAACCACCTCCCGCAGGGACACACCAGCTCAGGTATTTCCTCCATGGGGTCCGCGGACATGATCCACCGGAGGGGAAGGTGTGTGATTAGAAAGGAGTGAGGTCAGTCCACTCCTGGTCCCTTGAGACCGGGGCCGGGGTAAGGGACAGGCACAGAAAAATGCCGCCCCTGAAATGCGCTCCCCGTTGGCTGCGGTGACCCAGCCTCCCCAGGCCCCCTCGTCCAGTCTCTCAGAGGGCAGGGTCCGGCTCAGGGGTCGTCACCGCCGCCTGTGCAGTGCCCAGGGCGCAGTGCAGCACTTGGGTGTCCAGGAGCCAGCTGATGGACCTTGGGCTGTGGTCTCAGCGAGTGTAGCCGAGCAGCTCACCCCCAGGCACTGCGCCAGGTGTCCCGCCTGTTTGGCAGACGGATCCAGTGAGGCCCTAAGAGCAAGGGCACCAGCAGAAGGTGGTCCTGGGGGTGCCTCGCCATGGTGAAGCAGGGGAGCCATCGCCCTGGTCTTTCTGTCGGGAAGTGGTTTCCCTGCTTAACAAATACCTGATGCGGTGTTCTTGTCTCTTTCTGCTCCCAGGTATTGGTCTCTGGTCTCGGGGAAGCGTTTCCGGCCTTTGCTGACCCTCCCTGGGTGTGCAGGGAGTGTTAGAGGAGGAGGGGGAGGAAGATCTCTGATTAAGGAGCAGTTGGTGAGCAGAAATGGCTATTTGGCACTGACTGTTGAGCAGAATTAGGGAGTGTTTCGGTGCTGATGCTGTGAGGTCAGGTAGCAGGGTTCGGTGGGTCGTGACGTTGAGCCTGTTGTCCCAACCAGGAGGGTTAGTGAGGGCCCCTGCGGTGTGCTCATTTCAGGCCCAGCTAGCAGCGGGCTTTGGCAAGGCTCCCTATCCCTCCTAATCCCTGCCACGCGGACGGTATAGTGAGCAGGTCTCCCCACATCCATGGAGCTTAAGACCCGAGGTCCTCGGAGAAAATGGGGAAAGTCAACTTCTTGAAGTAGAGCTGCGAACAAGACAGTAGAGCCTGCAGAGCCTTGTAGGAATTCTCCTTTGGGTTGGTCCTTTCTGTTGTGCAGAAGTGGTACTTCCTCCAGAAGCGGGAGTTGGGGCTGATCTAGCAGGGAGCCTTGCCTGCGCTCACAGACCCTTCTCGGGTGGCTTCAGATCCAAGTGCCAAGAGCATGTGAGGTTCTCAGAGGTGCGTGAGGTGCTGACGTGAAGAGTCAGCTGGGGCTTCTTGAGAAGTCTTGTCCCCATCCACGTCCACAGACCTGGCTTCTGACTGCCTGTCGCTGTGTCTTCTCGAAGGTGCTGTGTGCATCCATGCCGTGCCCTGTGTAATCTAAAAACCCAGAGGCAGAGGGAAAGCTGCAGGTGACGGTAAACCTAGATCCAGAGAAAGAGACAGACCTGTACGAGATGGTGAATTTCTTCTGATGCCCCTCAGCTTCTCCTTTTTGTATTCTGTTCCTCTCTTGCTTGACTTCTGTCTGGGCTCCCTCTCGTTCTGTGCAGGGGAGGTTGTGTTCATT